CTAGCTTTTTAATCTTAACTAGCTTAGCTAGTTAAGCTTAAAAAAAGTTTTAGTAATACTAATTATTTAAAGCTATACTTATTAGTTAGCTTAGCTAAGTAGCTTTTAAAATAGTATATACTATTTTAAAAGCTACTTTATTTTTTAGTAATAAAGTATATAAGTAAAGCTTTATTTTTTTAGCTAAAATTAAAAAAAGTAGAAAAGCTTATTATAAGTATTTTAATTATTTTCTTTTATTATATAGTTAATAGTAAGTTAATTATAGTACTACTAATAGCTTTACTATTAGTAAGTAAAATAATATAATTATTAAAAGTATTTATAACTAAGTATTATAATAGCTATAAAAAAGTTTATTTTAGTATATTACTTTTATACTTACTACTACTTACGTAACTATAATATAGCTAAAGAAGTACTATAGTTTATAAAAATATACTTAAAGTACTACTATTAACTTAGTGTCTTATGTCTAATTTTATAGACTCTGTTTAGTAAAAAGATATTAAAAGATATCTAGCTTATTATCTTAGAATAGCTAGAAGATTTTAAGATTTTAAGACATTTAGTATATATTACTATTAGCACTAATGCTTAACTATAACTATATATATTAATACACTTCTATAATATAGTAGTAATAGAAATACTACACTAGGCCTTATAGTATCTATTCTCTAATAACTATAACGTAATAACTATTCTTTAGCCTAGATCTTAATAGAAGTTATAGTAGTTTATTATAGCTACTATTTAATAAATAGTATCTTACTATATAAAGTAACTTATAAACGCTATATCTTTACTATTCTAGCTTTTTTTACTTTTATAAAGTATTCTAGCTAAAGTATTTCTTTATAAAAGTATAGCTTTCTATAAAGCTAAAAAAAGAAGTAAATTTATTATTTCTTTTACTTTATATACCTAGTTATAAATAATAATATAGTAGATAATTAGTAGTGTCTTATTAGTAAGATTATTAATAAAATAGTCTTTAATAAAATAGTCTTTCTAATTTCTTTTTCTTATAAGTAAGAAACTATAACTACTAAAGAGCTTATATATTTTACTAATAAGCTTCTTAAAAGTAAAGCTAGAAGAAAAAATAATAAAAAGTTTTACGCTAGCTATATATATAATAGAGATAATAAAGATAATAGAGATAGAAATATTAGAAATAAAAATAATAAAAATAGAAGTAATAGAAACGTTAATAGGCCTAGCGTATAGCTCTAAAGTACTAGTAAAGTAGCTTTTTAGAGCGCTTATAATAGTATCTAGTATAGTATAAACGTAGTAGTTTATAATAGCCTTTATAATAGCTTTTAGAATAATAACTTTAAAAGAACTTATAAAGTAATAGTAACGCGTTTAAGAGAAAAATAATTAATTAATAATAAGAGGCTTAATTAAGTTTAGTAAGTAAAGTAATATAACTAGTAATAAGATTAGCTTTAGATAGACTTACTAACGCTAAAAGAACTTATAAAAAAGGTATAGTAAGAATATAGTTAAGAGCTTATTTAATATATATATTAGTATAGCTTTTAGTATTAGATTTAAGCTACTATTTACGTCTTTAATAAGTTTTTAAATCTCTAATTTTACTATAAGCTATAAAATAAGAATAGAGGTAGAAAATAGAGAGTATATATACAAAAGCATAATTTTGTAAGCTAAGATTTTAGTATTTTATTACTTTATAATCTATAGCTTAGTTAGTTATAAGCTATTAAGAATATATAATTATATTATAATTCTCTCTACTATAGTATAAGTAGACGTTAGTGTTTATAAAATAGTTATCTTACTACTTTAAATTTTAAAAGCTTTAACTATACTAGAGGTAGTAGTACTAAGAACCTAAGCCTTAGCCTGCCTAAAGCTTATATCTTTATAGAATTTTAACTCTTTTAGAAATACGTCTTTTTATATACTAGTAATAGACCTTGCTCTTTTTAGACTAGCTTATGCTATAAGATTGTTAGTTTACTAATAAAATAAACTACTATTAACTAAACTATAGTTTTACTTTATAGAAAAAGAATAGCTTATATACTTAAATATTAAAGTTAGAATAGGCTAGAATAGACGTAGTAGTAGTAGCACTCTAGGGACAAAAGCTTAATAGTCGATAGAGCTAGGATTTCTCAAGATCCACCACAAGACTGGTCATCTCTTGGCTGCGGAAGAATAGGACTCGCCATTCAGATTTCAGTCGAGGTGTCATGCGCCTTTTGCGTGCGCGGGATTGGACCGCACACCCATTCGTATGTACCGCTATCGCATGCAGCAATTCGCGCTATTCAGTGTCGCTTTTCGGAGATGGACGCATCTCGGTGACCGACGGCGAAAACAATGGCGTGTGGATATGGCCTCTTTCAAATTGGCAAGGTGATACACGTCCAGAAGCGTGCGTCTGGACGCTAAGTCTCACAGCCATCCTGGAAGCCACGATTTGCTCTTTCATCTAATTTCCTAACTCGAAAGTGAGGTCACGCGTAATGAATGTGGGACTGCGACACGCCGTTTGGCGGCTGTCAGAAACCGACTTCGCGCGATGATTGAGATCGAGAAAACAGCCACGACAAACGCCCACCGGCTAGAATTCACATCTTCTGCCCGATACATACTACCTCTGCGCCTAGACTGATATATTTGACCTAAGGATTCGGGGCTACTGATTAACAAAGACATCCGACATCATCACCTTTCTAGTGTGCCACGCTTTCCATTTTGACATCTGTCACACGGGTTTAGGACTAGCATTCACCAGCAGTATCTACCTTCACTTCGGTATAAAGCTCGTGTCTCCAACGCATCAATATCATCACCAGCACACCACTTCTACCATCTTCACCTCTCTCTTCTACTCTCTATTCAGATCTCCAACATGTTCAGCACCAACACTCTTCTTCTTGCTCTTGGGCTTGCTGCTTCCTCAGATGCTTTCTTCCGAATGTCTTGCCCGGGACGAACTGTCAGAGAGCGACTTGATCCCATTGTCAACCCTGGAGCCGTTTCTGGCCATGTCCACACGATCTCAGGCGGAGCGGCCTTCAAAGCCTCCATGACCTACGCAGACACCCGAGCTTCCAAGTGCTCGTCATGCACGATCAAGGTAAGACAGTCACCTCGTTTTGGTGCTACATGACTAACGATTTGCAGGAGGACATGTCTAATTATTGGACGCCGCAGCTTTACGTCAAATACAAGGACGGATCCGGCTTTGCTCCTGTCCCGGTCATGGGTGACCCAGATGACACCAACGGCGGCATGACCGTCTACTACCTTCAGCGTCGAGGTACCAATGAGACTGAGAAACTCCACGCTTTCCCGGAGGGCTTCCGCATGGTCGCCGGGGACCCATTCACTCGCAGCTACGACGGCAGTCTTGCCGCCCAGGGCATCTCCTTCAACTGCCTTGGTGCGAACAAACCGGAAACTAACGGTTTCCCCGACTACCCATGCCCAGGTGGACTGCGAGCCCAAGTCTACTTTCCTCAGTGCTGGGACGGCAAAACCCTTGACCCTTCCGATCATAAGAGTCATATGAGCTACCCAGAGGGCAACGTATACAACAGCGGCAACTGCCCCGCCTCGCATCCTGTCCACATGATATCGATCTTCTTCGAGATCTTCTACGACACTGCCCTGTTCGCCGACCAGTGGGTTGATGGCAAGCACCCCTTTGTCTTCGCTCAAGGAGATGCAACTGGCTTTGGTCTCCACGGCGACTTCTTGAACGGATGGGATGTCAAGGTGCTTCAGAATGCTGTCGACAACTGCAACGACGCCGGAGGTGCAGTGGAAGACTGCCCAGCCGTGACAATGTTCACCGATCGAGAGTGCAACGACTGCAAGATCCCAGTATCGGTCAACGAGAAGACTAGTGGAAAGCTTGCTGCACTCCCCGGCTGCAACCCCGTCACCTATGGCCCGCAACGCGCTACACCAGGAAGTTGCCCAGACAGCACCACACCATCAACAGACGGCGGCTCCACCGATCACGACGACTTGACCGCCATCCAGGGCTGGGAGTACGTTGGTTGTGGCTCCGACAATGTGAGCGACCGCGCGATGAACGGTTCATGGACCTTCAACGACTACATGTCCATTGAGATCTGTGTCGACTACTGCAATGCCCGCGGCTTCACCTACGCAGCACCCGAGAACGGCAACGAATGCTTCTGCAACAACAGCCTCAACCCCAAGTACGCGCCCAAGGCCGGCATCATGGGCTCATGCACCAAGTCTTGTGTGGGCAACGTCAAGCAGATCTGTGGTGGTGCGAATGCGATGAGCATATATCACAAGTGCTCCGGCGGCACTTGCCAGAACAACAACGATGGTGGTGCGGCGCCGGTGCAGAGCAAGGCCTCCGTGGCTGCTAGGTGGATGCCCCTTTCTACTCTGGCTACGGTCGCAAAGGCTGCTGCTGCTACCCCAGTGTTTTTGTATGGGTAGATCTGGGGGTGATGCGGATGAGTTCTGCAACATTCATTTAACGGCCTTGATATATCCCTTTTAGGATCTTCTCTTTGTAAATCTGCAAGCGCATCAGATATATAATTGATGAATACAAAATATCTGTTCTACTTCACCGTCCTCTCATCTGCTTTGCTGATGTCTGTGCGTGTGGCTTGCACCATCCATCTAACAAGAAATTTTGATGTTCATGGTCAGCTGTCATTTAATTTAGGAGGCGCAACACTATAGCGCGGACGGATGCAAGGTACCCGGCCGGCTAGCTTGGAGTGTGACTTTAGTTTGGTTGTCAATAACACTAGTGTGCCAGCGCCCTGATCAGAGTGGATGTGCAACCAGACTGGAATGACCCTTGCATACCGGGAAGGCAGCTGAAATAACGCCCAAGAGCGGAAAGTGAAAAGCATGGCTCGCCGTAAACCGTATGAAGTAGGATGTTGGCACAGAATTTAGTTCGTGAAACTGATGCCATCGTCTTCGTATCTAAGCAAAATGCGTTTGGACGCTTGTCAGGGCTTATTATCCGAGCCAAGTACCTGCTGTTTGTGACAGCCTTCGTGCTCCGAGCTCCGAGATGATCGCATCTTGTCACCATTGTCATATTGCTTTCCCAGTATCTCTCTCTCAGACGCGCCATCCTCAACATCATAAGGATCAAGCATTCCGTGCTCTTGTAGTTCGAATCCAAAGTCCTGTTGTGTTCCCGATGGTCGAGTGGCTTCGGAACTGCCGACCAGAGAGGGGGCCACGTGCCTGAGGAATAGCCGCAGGGTTAGGAGAGAACCGGTGATGATGATGAGACTGGCTTCGATAAGACTAGTGGATCTTGTTAGTGAGGGATGCAAAGAGCTGATGCTTGACGAGAGCTGCGCACTCACATCCACAGACTAGGATAAACCGTGTCCCAGGAAGCGTCTTTGGAAGTCAACATTGGGGGAAGCAATGCGACGCGCACCGCACTTGTCACGCATGTACTAGCTCCTTAGTCAGTGATACCCGCGCGCTTGGGCTTGAAGGCTTACATCGAGCCAACGCTGAAGATGCCTATCACCATGATCTTCCGCTCTCTCGACATTTGTAGTCGCAGAACCATGGGTATTGGTAGGATGATGACCATGATATCCGTGATGATGTTCAGCACCCCAGTAGCGATGTATAATGCCGCCTTGTTCAAACATTGCCCTTCTGTGATGGTGACGTCGATATTCTTCGCAAACGGTTTGCATGCTGCAAGTAAAGAGATGACAATGCCGACACAAGATCCGACAACAACAAATATGGTGAAGTGTACTCCAGCGCGAAAGCCGCGCGCGGGGCTCAAGTTCAGGTAGAGACAAAGGAATGACAACTTTGCGAAGGCGAGAGCTGGCGAGTATAGTACAGTAGTTGTTAGAGTTATCTAGAGTTCCGGAAGTTAGCAAACAATGCCGCCGAGGTTGCCCACGGGAGACCGACTCTCGCGATAGTGTTCAGTTGGTGGCCGGTAAGTTCCCAGGCATGTACACCAATGAGACCTGCTGGTGCCCTATCTATAATGCTGTTATAAATCTCGTTCCATAAGATAAAGGAAGCAGCGGACAAAACTTACAAATAATGAGTAACTGTACAGGTATCGCAAAGACCTGCCAATCAGCTCATGTCAGCCATGAGCTTTCTTCGACAGAAGAGTCGTGGACACCTACCCATGCAAGGAGCAGACAATCTGGCGCAGCCGTTAACAAAGATGGATCGCGTTCACGGGAATGACTTACAGTCATCAGACGACAGTTTCTTGACTAACACAGCTTTGGTGTAAGCTCGAACGGCCAAAAGAAACGTCGAGACGATCGTTCCCACGATTCCAATCCAGAGGATGATGGCTTCACCTCGTCGTTGTGGGTTCTCGAGGTCTACCACGTAGTCATCTGGTGCGCGTACGATTGGCTGAGTGAGATCCACCATCTTCCTACGAGCGTGCTTGCTGTGGAAGCAGCCCTCAAATTGGAATGTTTTCAACAGCGCGACGGGGGCATTACGTCGATTTGAGTTTGGCTGTCTCGCAGGATTCAAAACAAGCTGGGTTGGCAGATCCAGCCGAATGGTAATCCGTCTAAGCGAAGCAAGTTGATTGATCCGGACATTTCATGTGCCGCCACCGTGAGCGAGGCTGAGAGCATAATGCAATGCGTCCTGTCTATCCCCTGTAATGGCAATGATGAATCTCGATCTGATTTTATCGGTAGCGCAATACTTCCGACTTAGCTTGTAGGCAACGTGTTTACTCTCATCATGATCCATCCCACCTGGGTGCACCTATGCTCTCAGGGTCATCTGCATCGAGTACCTACATAGGTAGACTCTACTCGTGTCGAATTATCCTGTAGTCCACGATATGATGTACAGTGGCTTGAATCAGAGCTCCCGCCGTGCCGCACAGCGGAACTGCCGTAGCGTTCCTGCTAGCTGAATCCTGCGGGACAGGGTCGGGAAAGGGGAACATGCGCGAAGGATGCAGGCGAACGGGTTGCGGGTCCATCATCTGCTCAGCCGTGTTCTTACTTGCTGTCATTGGATGAAGAGTTGTGTTGCTTGATAAGACGGCAGAGCCGCAACGGCGTTGATCCTTTCGTGGAGAAGACGCCGCAGCCGTGCTTCCGTTGACTCCAGAAAATGGCTGGGCGTTACTCTGTTGGGATTAGCGCCGGCTTGATTAGTAAATTTCTCCGATGAATGCTCCTCCTTCCCCATTCCCTCATGGTCACGATGCCCAGACTCGCCACAAATTCCACGGCAGACTCCAGATTTGATGTAGTCGAGTTGATGCAGTCGGCACGGAGGCCTCTGCCGGAATGATCTAACGGAGCGTGGAGATCATCTTCGGCTGCTGCCATCCGCGGTCTTGCTGACTCGGTCAATGAGTTTTCACATCTCGGCTGGCATCTGGTCCACCTATGGGATCAGTATCAAAAGGCTGATGACCCGGTATCTTAGAAACTTCTGAGCTGTTTCGTCCTCCTCGTCAAGGACCGTTCACCGCCTGTTCTTGCATCATGTTTTATCTGAGCTTGGCCTTGGGCACCGCGACCCTGCTCAGCGTAACGCGCGCCCAAAACGAATCCTACTGTGTAAGCTTCATGTTGCCTTGTGAGGCTGTTCTGACTTTCTTTAGTGCACAGCTCTGACCCAGAGTCTTGTAGCCAAGCGCGTAACCTACCCTGGTCAGAATGCGTACGACGCGAGTATTGCCTCTTACTTCGATGGAAAGAGCAGACTGTCGCCCAACTGTATCGTACAGCCCACAAACGCCGAGGAAGTGGCTACAATTGTCAAGGCTCTTACGACTGCCAGCACGCAGAAGACTTGCAAATTTGCCGTACGATCTGGTGGCCATACTCCGATTCCTGGCGCCAACAACGTCGACGACGGCGTCACAATCGATTTGCTGAACATGAATGGAACCACCTACAATGCTGATTCTGAGGTAGCAAGCATCTTACCAGCGGCGCGATGGGGCTCTGTCTACGCAGCTCTTGAGCCATTAGGACGTATGGTGGCCGGAGGCCGAGGCAGTACCGTCGGCGTTGGTGGCTACCTACTGGGTGGTGGGATATCTCACTACGCACCTCGCGTTGGATTGTCATGTGACAACGTGATCAATTTCCAGGTCGTCCTTGCCGATGGTCGCATCGTAAATGCCAACAAGACTTCTAATGCTGATCTCTTCACCGCTCTCAAAGGGGGTAATAGCAACTTTGGCATCGTAACACGTTACGACATGGAGACATTTGAGAACGAAGACCTCTGGGGAGGTATCGTTTCGTGGCCGGCATCCACCGTCAACCAGCATTTCAAGTCGCTCGTCGACTTTGGTCTCGACCCGAACAGAGATCCAAACGCTGCTCTGATCCTCTTCCAAGGATACTCAACAGCGAGTCCCGTGAACGTCGTAAGAGCTGCGTTTGATTACACCAAACCTGTGGCTCGCCCGGATGCCTACAGCGAGTTTCTCGCCGTCAACAACACCCTCAGCGATTCTACCAAGATCCAGCCAATGAGCGCAATTGCTGCCGAGTTTGGTAGTGACACGACTAAACGGTACGTCTCTGCTGTCTTCGATGTAAGACTATCGCTAATACAAGCAACTAGAGTTCAATTCCGTACCCTCTCATACAAGATTGATTATGAGACTCTTCAGGAGACAGCGCGTCTCTACGACATCATGCTGACGGAGCTTCGAGCCAAGGCCTCTGGACAATGGCGCATCTCATGCTTGCACCAGGTCTTTGCCACAAGCTACACGGCGAACAGCACAGCCAGAGGCGGCAACGTGCTTGGGTTGGAACGCTACACTGAAAATTTCATTATGTATCAGTCATACCTGCTTTGGTCCGAGGCGAAGGATGATGACCTGTTCATTACTCAGGGCAAGATGCTGACCGACGGCATTCAGAAGTTTGCCACAGAGAAAGGCACAGCGGTGGAGTACCTGTACCTCAACTATGCCGATAAGGACCAGGATCCACTTTCGGCTTATGGTGCTGACAAGGTGGCGTTCATGAAGACGGTCGCGAAGAAGTACGATCCGACAGGCGTCTACCAGAGTCAATTGCCGGGCGGGTTCAAGATTTCTCAGGTGTAAAATTAACAAACCTACAACAGCCTACAAACCTCAAATAAATTACCCGATTAGGAAGGTCGCAGAAAGCGTCGATCATAGCAATGTATCTTCTTGCGTTGCACGTCGTGGAGGGCCCGGAGACCTTGCTGTCGTCGGCGCGAGGTTTGCCACGGATGTCCGCTATGGATCAGTACGTAACTTCACGGGTCGATCGAATCGGCTTCGCTTGGAACTGAAAGCTCGGCAAACGGATCAGTGTGATGGCTTCCTTGGAATCATGTGCAATCTGTTTTATTCCAAAATGAACTTGTGTTGTCTTCACAAATATGTTAATAGTCTATTAAAGGTAGTAGGCCTTAAGTCTTCTAAGAGAGTAAAAAACGTAAAAAGTAAACTAAATATCTAAGTAAAACGTCTTATTTAATATAGGTTATTTAGCTGCTAGTCTAATTACTAGTAATATTAAATTCTATACCTAGTCTACTTATCTATACTAATAGTATCTATATACTTACTTATAGTAGTATATATTACTTAATTATACGTATATAATTCTAGATTATAATATAGATATAGTAACACTCTACTTAAGTTAATACCTCTATACTCTCTTCTATTTATTACGTAAGGTCTTTAAAGTATACTACCTTAGCTTAGATTTAATCTATTTTAAAATAATTTATACTTAAAATATTAGCGTTAGCTTTATACTTAATACGTATACTCTATATACTAGTATAGCGTTTTAGAAATATAATTATCTACTATATAAAGGCAAGATAATAAAGTAAGATATTAGTATTAGCGTAAACTCTTGCGTAAAAGCCTTTGCTTTACAACTTACTCTTTAGACTAATAAAATTAGCCTTAATATAGATAACGCTAGGTTAGATAGTAGAAAGTTATATAGTTAAGAAGATAATTATATTTAGAGATATAAAAGAAGTTAATAAGAATAGCTAAAAGTAGTAAGATAGAATTTTGTACTATCTATAGGCTTTCTAAGATCTTGCTTATAGTTATTACAACTATTTAAGTTACTACTATACTATAGTTATTAACTAAATTTTTCTACTATTCTATAGTACTAGGCACTACCTACCTATCTAAAAAGTAATATTATAACACTAAACTACTACTTTTAATACTAAAAAAAATAATTAGTAATTGCATATAATTTATATAACGAACGCGCAGTAAGATAAGTGGTGGGCCTCGCTGCGTCGGAGTCGTGAGCGGCTGCCCCGCGCAGCTAGCGACGCCAACCTCGTCGCGTCGCGTCGCGACCTACAAACCTCATTTAGCTGCAATGACCTGATCCGCTACATGTTGGCACAACTCAACGGCCGGCTGTTTCTTCAAGATGACGAACACAGGAACCTCAACGCCGAATTGCTTAAGGAACCAGTACCGCAGCTCAACCGCAATGAGCGAGTCAACACCAAGCACGTAGGCTGGCTTGCCTACGTCGAGATTCTCCGCCGGTATCGACAGCGATTTACTCAGCTTTCCAAGTAACGCCGACGTTACAATCTGCGCAGCCTCCTTCGTACCAGCGGCCGCCTTGATGAGAGCGAGATAGTCGACGGTTGCCGCCTCGCCTTCGCCGCCAGCCCCGGTGCCGTTGACCAACTCGACCTGACCCAGACGAAGGAGATTCTTGAACAGCGGCTTACCCACCCAGTGCAAAACGCCGTCCTGGAACATCCGATACAGCTTCGAAGGCTTATCATGGATGTTCACCACCTGCGCCGCGCCGCCGGCACAATCGTATCCAGGATCACACAAGACATCCAGAATCGCCATTAGCTGCTTCTGTGTCAGCCCACCCAGCCCAGCGCGCAGACTCTTCGTCACGTCCTCAAAGTTGTCACTCGCCCATCCAGCCTCTAGCACCAAACCGAGATCGAACGAGACGCCATTCAGCCCACTGGCGGCACGGTGCCGCGCGAGCGCATCTTCGAAAGTGTTACCGGCTGCATAGTTGGCTTGCGCGGGGTTGCCGATGATGCCGCTCATGGAGGAGAGGAAGACCATAAAGTCCATATCCTTGGGCAGGAGTTCGTGAAGGTTCCACGAGCCTTGATAC